AGACCGTCATATTTTGATTGGTCTTGGGGTGTTTTAATCTTTTCCTCATTGTGATACCACGTTGGGTCTTGAGGCGTCTGTCCACCCTAATCCCGAGGGGGCCTTTCGTGAATTGATCGGAAATACATATCCCAACTCTTCGCTGATTTACACTGATGGTACTTATGATCCCTCCAGTGGCTTGGCAGCTTCGGCATTTTATGTGGAATCGAACAACTTTTTTATGGGCATCCCTTTACAGCCCAACGTTTCCATCCTCACAGCTGAATTATATGCTATTCTCAGAGCAATACAATATTCTATTAGGCACTCTTTACCAAATCCGCTTATCATCTCCGACTCTCTGTCAGCCATCAAACACATTTCTAATTGCTTACTCTTTAAGAAGGGACCTGATCTAGTCTATCGTATACTAGAAACTATCCCCATGGTATTTCCAATAACTTGCCCCACTGGTATACGGTTTCTATGGGTTCCCTCGCACTCTGGCATAAAAGGAAATGAGCGAGTTGATCGCATTTGTAAGGTGGTTAATAGAGAAGGTAATAGAGTGCACATCTTGAATTCTGTGTCCGATATACGTTACTTGGTTTTCGAACCTGACAGACTGGCCTGGCTGTCTTATCAGTGGCCTTTTTCTGATAGAGACCTCTTGGGTCATAGATACTTTTCCCGGGTTGGCTTTAGTGATGTCAGACCCTGGTTTGACGATATTACGTTGCCGCGGAGTTGGGTCAATCAGATCACCAGATTGCGTACGGGTCATGTTTGTACCGCCGAACATTTTCAGAGAATGCGCTGGGACGTGGATACGGGTTGCCGGTGCGGAGCGGATTTAAGGTCTTTAACACATATTTTGTTTTCTTGTGCCCTGTACGCGCAAGCGCGACCGAGATTTTTGAACTTTTTGCGCGGAAGATTTCCGGACCTGGAACCCGAAGCGGCACCAATTGACGACCTGATTTGGAACCCGAATGTGGAAGTGGTGAGAGAGCTTGGGGGTTATCTTTGCTTCGATGGACAGTTCGTCTGATGCAGGTGCGAAGGCTTTAGGCGAGCGGCAATGCATGGTTATGCATTTGGTCTGCCGAGACTCTATTTTGTAATCCGCTGACGTTTATTCTAGAACGTCAAGGATTCGGAAAGATGCCTCGATTGTTTGGGACCGATGCATGCTCATCGTTGGGGCCGCCTTATATTGGCAAACTTGCACTTTTGTCCCTGTTCTCTCTCCTGTTCGACAATATCTCGACAAGATTTGCAACGGGTGAACGGACCATTACTTCCACCTATAGAAGTGTGCACTATGCCCGCAGCTCTGTGGACTCTTTGTGACACATTTCGAGTCATGCACCTATGTGAAATTTGAACACAAATGACAAACTTTTTCTTCTCTCACATGTATATAGTTCTGACCAGGGTTGCACAGTTACGCGTAACTCAGAGGTTTTTACGTAAATTACATGGGTTTTTTACATTTGTAAAATACGTATAATACCCCCCACCATAGAAAAATGCATTGTTTTTGAAAAATTTCAGGTAATTTACATATGTAATATACGTAAAAAACTCTATGTTATTTACCTGAGGTATATTACATACGCAACCCTGGTTCTGACACTCGGCTAGGCCTAAAGTCATTTAAGAAGAAGAAGAAGAAGGATAGTTACCGACCGTGAAAATGCGTGAAAAGTCATTTTCACGGCGGGTATTTTTGAATTGTTTTAAACAAAAAATGTTTTTTTAAGAAATATAATATTAAATAATTCTTTAAATATGTAAAAACACTTTAAAATAGTGATAGAATGATGATTTGATTGAAAAGTTTAGCAAATTTTGCTTTAAAACGTTTTCTGCTACAAGAAAGTGTAAAATGACGATGTTTGTGAAATGGTTTGTACAGTGCTTCTTCCTTGTGAGTGTCTCTAAAGGAGCTTCTACAATAGCTCCGTTTGGCAACTCCAAGTCCAAGTCCAAGTCGGTTGGAGTTGGTTGCGCACGCATGGTGTTGCCAACTGTCGCCGAGTTGAAAATGAAAAAAAAATTGTGCGTGATCTCGTGCTCACGAAATAGTTGAGATTATGTACTTTTGAAGCTGTAAACACGCTGTAAAGTTTAATAAATTATTTGTTGTTGTTGCTGTTGATGTTGCCGCCGTCTCATCGTTTTTTAAAGAGAAGAAAAATATAAATTAAATTAAATTTTTCTTTTATAAACAACAAAATTTTTTCCCCCAATAATACACACATGCAATGAATTTTATATTTGTAATATGTAAATATAGTAATAAAGTTGCCAAACGGAGCTATTGTCGAAGCTCCTTCAGAGTTTTGTTTATGTTATGTCGGTTCTTTTTAACTTGTAATAAATAATGAGTACTGAAAATAAATCGGTAAGTTGAAATGTTTATCAAATAAATTTAAATTCAACTAATTTTTTCGAATAACTGAAAGAAATTTTATATACAGAAAGTATTTGAGAGATGCGTGGAAATTGATTTATAACCTCAAATTCATACACATAAGTTTTGTGTTTTTAAATATCAAGTTTTATAATTACTTATGATTTTCATAAGTAATTATAATTAATTTTCAAATCAAGTTGTTGAATTTAAAATTACTTAATAAACATTTCAACTTACCGATTTATTTTCAGTACTCATTATTTATTACAAGTTAAAAAGAACCGACATAACATAAACAAAACTCTGAGAGACACTCACAGGGAAGAAGCACTGTACAAACCATTTCACAAACATCGTCATTTTACACTTTCTTGTAGCAAAAAACGTTTTAAAGCAAAATTTGGTAAATTTTTTCAATCAAATCATCTTTCTATCACTATTTTAAAGTGTTCTTACATATTAAAACAATTATTAATTGTCTTAAAAAACATTTTTTGTTTAAAACAATTCAAACATACCCGCCGTGAAAATGACTTTTCACGCATTTTCACACTCCAAAAATAATTTTCATCTGATCGAAATTTGAGGTATAAAAGCACCTTTACACTACACTATTTACATTTTATTTTCTCGTTTTTCTGAAATAACATAAATTTCATTAAAAACTTTACAAATATCAATGTCTATTTTTTGGTTTAACTTCGTTACAATCCTTTTCATCTATTCTTCTTCCTCAATGACATTTCTTCATTTTTGCAATAGATCCCTTGCCTCGTTGCTCATTTTTTCCAAGATTTATTCACAACTCAGTACGTGTTCGAAATTTTCTTGTCTATTTTCACATCCTCTACATCTATCATTTTCATATCCTTTCTTGCCAACTCTTGTTGCACAGACACATCTCCATCTTGACCAAATAATTTTTTGCCATTCTATCACATCCTTTTTGTTCCAATATTCCTCCATTCCTTTGCTTTTTTTAATCTCTTTATAATAGTTACAATAACTGGATTTATCTATTTTTGCCCAATCATTTTGTATGCCTTGTTCTTCTTTTATTGGCACTAATTCCTTAGCTCTCATCCAATCTCCACGAAAACTTGCAGCAAACTTGCAAGAAGTTTGCCGTGCAAGATTGCAGTGCAAACATGTAGCAAGTTTGGTGCAAACAACAAAATGTCCTCTTGCGGCAAGCTTGTAGGGAAAAGTTTGCGCAAGCTTGCTGCAAGTTTGCAAATCATGTTTATTATTTGCCCATCTCCCAATGCTTTTAGAGCCCCTGCCATCTTTTTTCCCTAATTCGTTGGATTCCCGTTTTTGATTCCTCTTACTTCTTCTCTTAAACATTTGTATGCCCATCTATCTTCGTCTAAATGTAATGGAGCTTCTACAATAGGTCCGATAGGCAAGTGCAAGTACAAGTCCGAGTGGCTCGGACTTTGTTGCGCGCGCATCGTGTTGACTTTTATTTTTGTAAGATATTTGATAATAAATAGTAATTAATTATTTAATTATGAGTAATTAATTAATAATTTAACAATTAATTAATTAATAATGAGTAATTACCATCTATTATCTTAAAAAAATAAAAATTACACGATGCGCTCGCAACAAAGTCCTAACCACTCGGACTTGGACTTGCACTTTACTTTCGGACCTATTGTAGAAACTCCATGATATTTTTCATCGGTAAACACATGCTTGCTTTGACGAATTTTTCTAGTACTTGTTTAATTTTTTTCTATATTCTGGACAGGCCCTAAAGATAGACATTTCTTAATAGTCCTACATATTACGTAGTTCAAGTTGGGAGGGGGAAATCCAAAATGGCGATTAAGTGGTTCACAAACAAATATTAGAAACGTACCTCCAGTATTTTGGTCAAGCAATCGGCTGGATTGCATTTTCACGGAGAATCACTGAATTTGATTGGTTCTAAAAATATTCAATTTTCACGGTGGAAATGGAATATTAGTCAGAGCCTATCAAATTCAGTGATACAGCCGTGAAAATTCAATCCAGCCGATTGCTTGACCAAAATACTGGAGGTATAAAAGCACCTTTAAATGAAATTTTGGAACCTAAGGCTGCAGTCCCATGGCAGCGTTTTGCGTTGCGTTTTGTCACTAGACCCTGAGTGTAAACATAGCAAACATATATCTGCATCTCTTTTACACTCATGGTCTAGTGACAAAACGAAACGCAAAACGCTGCCATGGGACTGCAGCCTTAGTATATTAGGATGTTAGTTTCTATTTTTAATGACCTATTTAATACAATAATAAAATTTATTAAAAAAATAAAATCGTTCGTTATTATTGTATTATATAGGTCATTAAAAATAGAAACAAAAATCTTAATATACTTAGGTTCCAAAATTTAATTTAAGCGAGATGTTAAAAAAATTCGACTTTATCCCGTACATTTCTAATGTTTGTTTGTGCACCACTTAATCGGCATTTTGGATTCCCCCCCACCCAACTTGAACTACCTAATTGTGGACAAAACCTAAAGGTGGTTCTTCAAGCTGACTCTACATTAGCTACAATCAGTTTTTTAAATAACTTATTAAAAACTAATTCTCAAACATAAGTGTATTAGTAAATTTTTTTTCATTTATCAAGAGCTATTTTTTAAAACATTAAAAACTAATATACTTTTGTTTGAAAATTAGTTTATAAAAAGTTATTTAAAAAAATAACTGATTCGATTCATTGATTTGAATGCATTATTTGACCTGTACTAATCCAGTATATTGGAAAGTGACGTCACAAGTTGAACTACCGTATGACTATGAATAAAAAGTGTGGTTGTAGAAGCAGCTTCATGGGCCTTATTATACACAAAAATGATGATCTTGGCTCATATGTTGATGTCAATTATTTAACAGTATTAACAATATAAAAATAAGTAAAGGGAAAATTTTTATAATAACAGTATCATTTATTAAGTATGTATGTAGTATTTATTTAAAATGAGTCACATAATTGTAATAAGAAGTTTTAAGCCTGGAGATGAATTAAATTGTCGAGATATAATAAAGGATGGAGTAATGTCATCAATGAATGCAGCATTTTTAGGAAATGTTGTAAAGGAATTTACTTTTCAAATGATGATTCTATTTGCCGCAGTTTTGTTTATTTTCTTTGGTTTACCATTTTTAGTTTGTTTTTCTGCGATTCCGGCTGTTATTTGTCTCACATATGTAGCATCTTTTTTACTGCATACAACAAAAGTTATGGAAGTTTATCAGGAAATAACTAATATCTCAAGGTAATAACATTTTTTTTTGAATTTTGTTCTCATAAAATGTAAGAAAAATCCATGCGCAATATAACAATCCAACACAGTGCTGCCAAGAAAACTAATATTCGTCGCCAACGTGCGCACAAAAAATTTTTAAAATAAACTTACATTGAACAAAAATATTTTTATATTTGCATTTTATCTTTTATTTATATTTTTTTTAATCGCATTTTTTTACATTGAAAAAAAAATGTTTTGTTTTGCCGTGTTGAATAATGGAAATTTTTGTTTTTTTTAAACTTATTTTTTACATAAAATTTTGAACATTTAATTTTTCTTCGCTTTATTATTTTTTTCATATTTTTTTTTAGATTTGTTTATTATTACATAAAAACATTTTTTTAACTTTTTATTTTGTACACGAAATATTTTTTAATCTTGTTTTGTATATGGGGAATCTCACGTGAAGTGATCAAGGTTCAAAAATTTTTTTCTCCGATCACGCTTAAACTCGGGATATTTGTAGTATACTCATAGATGTTAATCTTTGGTAAAAATATTTTTTCATTTAGTCCAATATTTTTCGAGGGAGAGGAGATGAAACTTTTGGGATTTTGCGGTACACAGCATGTTTTAATAATTTTTTTTTCTTAAATATCAAAATAAAAAATTTTTATCAATATCAGTTTCGAAAACTTTTTTGATGCTTTCGAAAAATAAGTCGAATTCATTTTGAGGTGAATTCAAGTGATTTTTCGAAAGTGTGTCCGCCATATTGGATCCGCCATTTTGAATTCCGAAATTCTAAGCACAGATTTTCTACTCAGCGACCCCGAAAACCCCCGATTAACAGATTTTGAGCGATTTTGATTCATTTGTGAAAAAGAAAACATTCATAAATACATTATTTTTACGTTATTATTTTTTAACTTTAATGTGCTGTAGCTAAAAAACTATTCATAGGATTGAATTTTGGCATAAGGATTTTTTGTTCAGAAAGCCTTAAACTACAAAACTACAGAGTTTCAAAAGATTTGGCTGAAAGCCATTTTCAATGTAAAAAGTGCGGGGTCCTTTGTCTTTTTCGGGGTAGAAGGTACAATTTTTTTCTTTTTATTTAATCGAAAGCTGAGGATTTTTCTTACAAAAATATATAGTTCTTATAATAAGACAAGAATGTTTAAATATTAATAATTAACATTTTTTGCTTTTTTTACCATTTTTAATCATTTTTTTTTTACTATTTTTCAATATGAGAGATTCTTTTTCAATCGCCCCAGCCCAAAAAGTCAATGTTCTGGGATTGGCTTCATATTTTGGTAAATTGTTGTCCTATATGATAGTAATAAATCCCTAAAATAAAAACTCATTAAAAAAATATTTGTAGAAAGTAGAGGGGGTTGAAGTTTTGACGTTAAGGGTAACATTGTCATTTTCAAAACCGTATAACTATGACAAAAGTTAATGGATTTTAATTTATCCATAATGAATTTTAATGCATTTTTCACGTACTTTTCAAAAATGTATACAAAATTTGAAAAAAAAATTTTTTGACCCTTTTTTTCAAAATCAACCCTTATTTTTCGATTTTCACCCCTTCGGGTATTATTTTTTTTTTTTGTTTTTATTGGAAAGCTGAGGTTTTTTCCCATGAGCTATGTAAATATGAAAATGGGACAACAATAATTTTGTGAGAAACAGAATATTAATGTAGGCGGTGCCGATAAGGGTGCAGTTAAGGGTAACATTGTCATTTTCAAATCCGTATAACTATAACAAAATTTAATAAATTTTAATTTATCTATAATGAATTTTAATTCATTTTTCATGTACTTTTCAAAAATGTATACAAAGTTTAAAAAAAAAATTTTTTCACCCCTTTTTTTTCAAAATCAACCCTACTTTCTACAAATATTTTTTTAATGAGTTTTTATTTTAGGGATTTATTACTATCATATAGGACTACAATTTACCAAAGTATGAAGCCAATCCCAGAACATTGACTTTTTGGACTGGGGCGATTGAAAAAGAATCTCTCATATTCAAACATTCTTGTCTAATTTTTTCAACTATATATTTTTGTAGAAAAAAACCTCTACTTAAAAAGAAAAATTGTACCTTTCACCCCGTAAAAGTGAAATTTATTTTTTTAAACCTTGATCATTTCACGTGCGATCCCCTATTATGGAGTATTCTATTTTAAAATGACCCCTCTAGTAAATAATTGCATAATTGCATATTTTGCATTTTAGGGCAAATAATTTATTTCAATATTTGTAATTAAATTTATTTATTTTTTGAAATATAAATAACAATGTTAACAATTTTAAACTTTATTTGTCAAAGTGGGGTCCAATGGATCCCAGACCTATTTTTCTTTTATTTCTGAAAATAAATACGTTTTTTAAGAAGGCAGATAATTTTCTTTTTTGTACATTAATTGAGCACTATAGTGCTCAATTAATCTATAGATTCAAATTTAAACCTGTAATTTTAAAAAATAACAAAATTAAATTAATTAAATTTATTTAAGTTAAAATTTTTTTCGTAAAACTGTTTTTCAGGTATGAAAAGTAGCTACTAACAATTTTTTGTAGCTAATAAATAAAAATATAATAAAATAGTAATATTTTATTTTCATTTAATTTAATGTAACATATTTAAGGGGGGGGGGTATGGTTAATTCGGTGTAAAAAAGGCATATTTGTAATAATTTTTGTCGGTGATACAGATTAATTATTATTAACTTAATTTGCGGTGTTCAATGTAACTCGCAACAGAATCATGTGAAACATAAAAAATTTCTTTTATTAAAAGAGATGTTTCTCGAGGTAACTACGGAAGGATTTTTTTTATTTTTCGCAGCCCTTGAAACCCAAAAACCCATTTTTTTACAGAAAAAATCGGTCTATTTTTTACTGTATAATTAATAATTTTTTTTAAAAAAATGCTCTCGTAGATACCTGGCGAAGTAAGTCAAGAAGAACTGTGCCAAATTTCAAAACGATTGGTTCAGTAGATTTTGAAATATCGTGAACATGTACTTCAAAAAAGTCATTTCGAGAAAAACGCCATTTTCAATTTTGAAAATTTTTAAAATCTGACTTCAGATTCGTAATCATTGACCCCAAAACATAACTCCCCTTAATGTCTTTTGTTTCGATTTGAATTATTTTTATTGCATTTAATCAAGAATCCGGATTTTTTTTTAATAGATTTTCTATTACAAGAGCAAAGAAGAAAACTTCTCGGTTCAATAATATAATAAAAGAAATATTTTTAATTTATTGTCTTTTATCGTTTTAATGTATCACGGTGGGTCTGAATGAAGTTCAACCCAAATGTGCTTGCGTATCAAAATTTCTTCCTGATTTCTTTTCTAGGGTGTCTCCTGATAACTTTGAGCCCAAAAAAGAAAAAATCGCTTCGGCCCTTTTTGAAAAAACTCATTTTTTCGATATTTTGAAAATATCACTAAACATATTATTTAAGAAAATGGATAATAGTAAGGTTATTAAAGTTTTAAATCATTTAAATTAACATAAATGAAAAGTCACTAGGTGCTGAATTCCTTGCAACAAATAAAATCCACAAAAAAAGCTGAAAAAACGGGGAAAATGTGTTAAAAAGTCAGTTTTTTGAAAATTATTCTCTTCCATTGCATTTTAACCAGCTAAAGACCTATACGTAAATTAAAGCTTATAAAATTTTCTGTAAATTAAAAAAAATTGATCGAATTATCTTTAAAACTGTTGGAGTTATGACCTGCAGAGTGCGAAAAATTTGCAAACAAAAAATAATAATTTCAGATTTTGTGAAATAACTAGTTTCCAGTAAATTTAAAAATACTTCTACTTTGAAACAATTAAAGTTGACATAATTTTGAGGAAATCAAAAAAAATAGCCTTCCAGCTTAACTAGAACCGAAGTTATGACTGTTTGAAAATTAGTCTTTTTCGTTTTATTAATTTTTATTTCTATAAGATCAACTATTTTAAATAAAAAATATGTATGTGACAAGATTTCCATTTTAAAATTATATCGATCTTCTTTTTTTATATTTTCGACTGCCAATGATCAATGAATATAACATCGTAATAGCAAGAATATTAAAAAAGAAATGTTAGAGAAGTAAAAAGAAAAAGACTAATTTTCAGACAGTCATAACTTCGGTTCTAGTAAAGTTATCAGGAGACACCCTAGAAAAGAAATCAGGAAGAAATTTTGATGCGCAAGCACTTTTGGGTTGAACTTTATTTAGACCCACCGTGGTATCTTTATTTCAGGGTTGCCACGTGTTAGGAAAATCAGGAAAGGTCAGAGAATTTTATGAAAAGTGCAGGAAAAAAAATAAAATTTTTGTGGCAACCCTGTATTTGTTACCGTGTATTTTACATATCAAAAATACAAGAAAAATTGATTTAAAAAAACTTATTTTAATAGATTGTACATGTCAAATGCATTTTCCTGTTTTTGGATTGCGGAAGCCTTTGAGCCTTTAATAATGAATCGACATCCAAAAGACGTGCATTATACAATTATGACGGAACATCAGTTTCGCACATCAAATATTGATGTTTCTTTACAAGCGAAAAGAATTGTTGGTACCATTGGATTAACCAAAAGTCGTAATATTGAGAAAGGTGCTTGGATTAAACGTCTTTGTGTTCATAAAAAATATCGAAGAAAAGGTATTGCAACATATCTTTTAAATGCCGCAGTTCAATTTTCTATTAAACAAGGCTACAGTTGTGCAAATATTGTTGCTTCCGAATATACTGAAGGAGGAAGAGAATTATGTCTTAATAAAGGATTTGAATTACAACAAATATACAACAAACCTGTTGTAGGAACTTTTATTACAACTTTAATGTTTGAACTATCGTATCCAATTAAAAATGAAGATTTTTACGGAACTAGCCGAAAATACGATTGATGTATAAAAACTATTTTTATTTTTAAAAATTAATAACGAATATTGAAGGAAGAAAAATAAATTTTTGATAAAAAAATTTAATTTTTTTATTTGTGATTACACTTTCAATTTGTTGGTCTTTGCTTATGTTTAAAAATTGTTTCCAAAAATTGAAGAATTGCACTTACCTATGCATTGTTTTTGGCTCGTCTTGAAACTTACGGCATTTGTAGAGGAAAATATAATTTTTAAAATTAAAATTAATTATTAAAAAAATAAGAATATCTAAATTGCAATAAACAATTTATTTTGCAAAATTTTTTACATCAAATTTTTTTAAACAAATAAAATATTAAAAAAGTACACGAAAAATGATAAAAATACAATGCTTTCAATTCTTGAAAGTTGTACCCGAGAAGAAAATGAAAGCAGGTAATTAAAATTTGAATTTAATTTGTAACCAAAAAACAGGTTAAGGATGTTTAAATAACAAGAATAATAATTCCCATACAAAACATAGTGATTTTATTCTACATATAATGGGATAATTTTGTTTACTAGTTTTTTAAAACTTGTATAATTCAAGACTTGTTCAATTTCGCTGAGGCGCATTGTGACATAGTATTTCGTATTTAGTTTTGTTTTCTTATTTTTTGTCATTTCTTTTTTTGCGCATTGTATTTTTAAAGTATAACAAATAGTATAACACACATAATAACGTTGATGAATGCACAACGTGGTTTATAGATCTCATGTTGTAAATTCCAGTATATTTATGCCTGGTGCTGTAATACCTAATAAGTCGAGTGTACACTGATAAGTCCAGAATGAAATCCAAATTTTGGAAGTGAAACTGAACTTCTGTCACCCAACAAGCTGAATCTGCTATCGTCGCCAGCTACGTGTTTCACTATCTTCATCTTCCTCTTCCTCGTTTTCGTCTAAAAGAAGATCCTCCGCTGCTCCCTAAAAATTAAAATTAATCGTATTTTTCAAATTATTATTAACAAAATGATAAATAAATTTTTTGATAAAACTCGTAATTATACTTGGAAAATTTTTATTAAATTGGAAAATGTTTATATTTATTAAAAATTTTCTAACTTATTAATTAATTTCCTACATAAAGTTTAATTAAACCTTACTTTTTTACGTACTGCTTGCCACACTGAGCCCCTTGGACCCCAACAAAAATTATTATAAAATAAAATCTCTTGACTATTTTTACTTGACAATTTTTTTTTTAGTATTTATTAAGAGCTTACCTTAAACAATCATGTAGATTATATACAGGGTGTTCCAAAGGTATGGAAACTTGAAAATATCTCGAAAAGTACGCATTTTCGTAAAAAATATCAAAAAACAAAAGTTGTTCCCAAAAAAAGATCTACATTATTGAACCCAAAAAATTGGTCCCGGGACCCAACAGTGAAAAAAGAAGTATCACGAAAATGCGTACTTTTCGAGATATTTGCAAGTTTCCATACTTTTGGAACACCCTGTATAGCCAAAATTGAAATTTAAGTAGGAATACAAAAATATGAAAAAATGTCCTTTTCACTAAAAGAAATTCATAATTTTTTTAATTTATAATATAAAAGACTGTTCGAGGATGATGTTCCACTGAAAACAAACAGGGCCATACGAAGTATTTTATGATACTTCCATATCTACTATTATATGTCAAGATAATTTGTGATATTATTTTTTAAGTTTTTAATTATAATGTCCGTTGCAATCAAACGACGTAAGATTCTCTCAAATTGTATATTAAACTAATGAATGCTTTTAAAACAATTTCTTTTTATGCAGTATAGAGTTTTCCTGTGTAGAATTCATTTGTGTAGAGTTTAATTTCGTAGAATCGCCACCATCTCACAATATTAAAGTTTAATATGAAAATTTAAAAAATTAAAAATATATTAAATTAAATATTTATTGTAGTAAAATTATTAATATTAATTTAATAAGAGCACGATTTCAGATGAGATTTTCACTTTTTCAAAGTGGGTTAACCGATTGCAATGAAACTTTGGAATTTTGCTACATATAGTTCGACTAATCTTTAACGTAAATTTCAGCTTAAAATATTTGTTACTTTACGAGATTTGCAATAATAACAAAATATTTTAAACTAATATATCTTCCGTTCTATTAATCGGATTGAGTTCTACCTTTTTTTAAACTATCGTGTTTTTTAAACTTGTAATGGGCAAAACGCTCACTTGGCCACTTGTATCGAAATATACTATTACCGACCCAGTAAAAAAAACTAATTTAGATGAATTGAAATGAATTAACTTTTTTTGTCAAGGACTAATTCGTATTTGTCACTAAGCAAGATTCAGTGAAGCCCTTTGTATATTTAACTCAATTCGTATCAATGAGTTTTCTTCGGTTGAGAGTTTAAACAAAATGACCAACTCGTCTATTGAATTCGTGCTGACGAATTGAAAAAAATTAAAGCTCAAAAGTTTGTTCATTGAATTAGTACGGATAGAGAGTTTAATACAGAAGATCATCTACGGAAGTTGAATACAGCTTTGTCGAATTCAGAAGAATTGCAATATAGCTCCAATTTGAATTTGTCGCTAAGCGGGATTCACTGAAGCCCAGGGTGTATTCATTTCAATTCAACTGAATTAGTTTTCATTTGCTGGGGACACTCGATATTTATTAATTGAAAATTTCTTTTCTTGGAGAAGAAAACAGTTGAATTTATTGTATTTTAATGTAATCACTTTATTTATAGTTCTTTCGATACTAATTATATGTTTCCTTCTTCAAAAGTATAAATTTTCAATGGATAAATATCAATAGTCGGTAAAAAAGTTTACTTATACCCATAGAATCACATGCGCAGTGTTGCACTGTCAACAAAAAAATAATATTTCAAAAGACTTTTTGTTTTTGCCAATTACAGATACTTTCATACTTTATTTATTAATATTTATCTATTTTTATTAATTTTTTTTAAGTTTTATATAAAGTTAAGTCAATTTTTCCTTTTCTTAGCCTCTAAATACGTGAAGGTTGATTGCTTGCTCAATAATTTCTTTTTTACTGGGATAGCTTATAGGCAAATAGAAACGTAAAACTAGAGTCAGCAAAATATAGAATAAAATATAGTATTTATCAATATCTATCTAGAATCTGAATTACCATAACCACTACAAATAAAGAAGGAGCCTATAAGATATACCTTAAGTTCATTATTTCAAATAAATGCACGCTACTTCCTTCAGCTAATCAGATTTTGTACCATCATTAGAGTTGCGATTGAATGTCTTATTTTTATAATGGTTGCTACTAAATGAGATGATACATACCTCTAGATCAATTTCATCTTCGGGAGTTTTTTGTAATTGTTCAGAACGTCCAGAAAGATTGATAGTTGAGCCAGCATTACTGGCAGCAACACCGCGGTGTAAATGATGTCCAGAAACCCAAGTTACAGATAATAATCGATCCTGAAAGGTGCGACCTTTAACTAATGCAACCTCTGCTTCTTTTCTTGACTTGAAATTAATTACTATAGATGGCGTAGCATCATCTACTATTTGATTGACTACTTCTCCAAATTGTTTAAAGTGGGCTAATACTTCCGCTTTCTCTTCCGTTTCATATCCAGAGACTAGAAGACTTGTGGGTCTATGATCTACTGATACATGTGTGAAACTACCTCGACCACGACCTCTAAATGCTGTATTGTGATTTCCACGTGTTCCTCTCGCTGACCTCGAACCACGTCCGACTCCCGAACCAGAATTTAATCCCAGAGCAGCGGCTTGAACTCGCAATTCATTCAGCCTCTTTTGAAGTTCAGCTGCATCTTGTCCTTCCTGTTGAGCATTCATTAAATCCAATTCGGCATCTAAGATTTCCTTTTGGGCCTGTTCACGAGACTTGGGCTGCGGTTTAGTCGAAGTACTTTGTCCATTGGCTGCTAAATCATTGCGAAGATTATCAATAGATTGTTGCATTGTTTTGATCGTAGCCATAATTGCGTCTTTTTGTTCAGGATTCTTTTCAGCTCTTTCAATCAAAGCACGTATTTCTGTCAATTGTTTATCCAATAATTCTTGTTTCCTTTTACGCAAATCTGCCGTCAATTTCAAAGCTTCTTTACGTTTTTCCTCTTGTTTCTTTTTTAATGTTTCTTTTGCAGCAAGAATCTCCTGTGTTTTTTTAATTGCAAGAACTTTTTCTTCACGTGTTGTTGAAGATGGAGCTGTTGCTTTTGGCGATACAGGAACTAAAGGCTGACTTGCAATTAGTTCATCAGCTGAGCGACGAGTTGGAACATATTCTGTTTCTTCAGCTTTAACGGGAAGCGCTAAAGAATCGCCGAGTCTTTCTTTAACGGATGGACGACAAGTTACAGGTGGTACATTTTCAATTGTTGAATTATTACTGACGGTACTGTTATGCCAAAAGACCTTGATAAATCTATTATTCAATACGGCCTCTGTACTTCTGTAGGCGGCTTTTGCTTCAGAGGGCATTTGAAATGTCACTAATGCTGCCTCTGGATCACCGCTGAAATTCACTTGAATATTTACAATTTTTCCAAACTTTGAAAAATGATTATTTAATTGAGTAATATTGTTTAAACTTCGGGGGACTTTTTTTAATTCGAGGGAACAATTTGCAGGATTATGTAATGCGCGCTGTTTTGGTCCAAGACGATTAATGTCAAATGCTTGTTTGCGTTTCAGAGGATTTGTTTGGGGATGAATTATGTCTCCTGGATTAGAATGTGGAATCACAGGAACGCTAATTAGTTCACGTTGTCCACGACCATATATGCCACCAGGTGGCGGAGGATGTCTGCCCCACGTCATTCGAGGTTCCATGCTCGGCGCATCGGGATTATATTCTGAAAACAGAAAAAGAGAAAATTAGAATATTGTTTATATGTGTATCTAATGCGTTTTGCCTAAAGTAACAAGTAGTCAGAATCTTACCCATGTTAGAATGATGCTGGTTTCTTAAATGTGGAGCAGGTAAACTCGCTAAAGGAATATGGGGATGAGAGCCAGTACCATTTGGTCCTGGTGGTGGTTCAGATACAACAGAAACTGGAACAGCGCCCGGAACTGGTCCAGCATGTTGACCAAAATTCAAAACCCGACTGAGTGCAACATCCTCTAAAACTACTGGATCGGTTCCGTGATCATAAGGACAAAGATCTCCTCGCATACAATATCCCTTTTCTATAGAAAAAAATTCAATTATATTAATTACAATTGAGAATATTTTTTAAGTGAGTGAAGAAACAAGTCATCACTTACCATCAAAATCACGACAACGTCGTTTCAATGGGAATGAAGAAATTTGATTATTGGGAATATTGACTGCAGCAGCCACAACGCTTTGTATCGATTGACTAGTCGTAGACAACCTCATGTCTACATCACCGTGATTACTATCTTGAGTTGGCGTTCCTCCTCCTGGACTATTGTCCAATCGTTC